TTTTTCAAGAGAAATGCAAAGTGTGGGAGAAAGACAGACTCATCCCCAGATGACAGATGGTGAAGTGAAGACTGAGGGCATGCATGGGACACAACAGCCAGGAATTACACCAGCTCTCCTACACCCCAGTCCAGTGCCGCACCACTAAATTGTTGCTACAGGCTTGTAGGATTAAAACAAGCCGAGGTGATCTAAAATCTATCAGTCTATTGAATGATGCAACAATTAAATAAACATAAGCTAGGAACAATTTCTAGCTGGTCTGTAAAAATAGGAGCCCCCCACATCACCATTTCACAGCAGAGGCTTCGCTGAGCAATTGCTGTGGTTGTGCATCAGCTCACCACAGAAAGGACAACTGACCTGAGCACCCCGAGAGCACCAGGACCCGGCCATGGGGAGTGAAACCAGTCTGGGATCATTTCCTGCTTGCAATAATTTCCCATCCTGTATCTCCAGCTTTTTACATGGTTCTGCTCCATGAGAAACCAAACAGGGCTGTTATGATGCCCCAAATCCCTCCCTGCCAGGGCTGGATGGACCAGCCTTCAGCCCTGAAAGGCAAGAATTGGCTTCACACACTTTTTTGGGGTTATTATTAAAGGGTGAAGGCCAAAGGAAAGGGTTTGCTAGGACACTGGTTGCTTAAGGTGAGAAAAAACGTTTGAGCAAGGTGATGGTGTGGAAAGACCTCCAGTCCACACACTCAGGTTGCTCATCTGCCCCCCACGGCCACCACATCTTCCCCAGGCAAGGACAACCTCTCCTGCCCTTCTTCTCCCAGAACATACTCTGGAAAAAAAAAAAGAATCAAATCTGTTTTCCTGGAGAGGGGCCAGCCCCCCAGCTGGCACAGCACTGCTCAGCGTGACCCTGCAGCCACGAAAACCTGCAGGTTCAACTCAACACCGAGATATCATCCACAGCAACATCTTTTGCAAGACACGAAAGAAAAGATATCATCTCTTTGGAGGGCTGCCTAAACACGCTGTGATTTACAACACGCAGCCCAGGAGCACACAGGAACCTCTGCCCTGGTGTCACAGGAGCTGCTTCTTCTCTGCCTGTGCCATGGAACAGATCCTGAGAGGTGCTGGCCAAGGGCAACTCCATTAAAACCAGTTTCTAACACAGTCAGCTTTCATTTGATCTTAAAATAGAGGTAGAAAACACAAGATAAAAATGGCTGTAGAGGGGTGGAAGATTGAGGGGAAAAAAAAAAAAGAGGAAGGATTCCTGTTAGAAACCAGTGCTTGATTTGTTTTGCTTTCTAAGAGCAAGGATTCAGTTCCCAGAGGTTTGGGAGGAGCTGGATAAACACACATGGCAGATTTATCTGCTGCTCCAGCTCCTGAGGGAGTTTATCCAGCATGTGTAAGTACAACTGCTCTGCCTGGTGTGGCACCGGGTAAGCAAGGGGGTAGGAGAAAAAAGTCCCTTTTTCACAGCGAAGGTGGATGGACATGCAGGTGCAGACATCACACGAGCAGAGGAGATGAGCGAGGTGTTCACAAAGCCACCATGAACCCCAAGCAAAGCATCACGGAGCAAACATAACCCAACGTGGTGCAGACCATGCTCACCATCCAGATGGTTGCGGGAAAGGTACTTGAGTCCTTCATCCAGCAGGATAACAGGCAGGGAGATTTTCATTACAACCACCCACTGTGGCCAGCTCAGGGGGGTTACCTGGAAGATGAGCTGCAAGGTGGAAAGGATTGGACATGTCAACAGAGAAGGAGGTGGGATTTTTTTTGTTTGTTTTAAAGGTCAAGTTGTTATATAGCACAGGTTGAAAAAGGGTCATCTTAGGTACAAGGAGGAAGGATCCAGACAGCCCAAAGAGCAAGATTTCTTCAAGGTGTGTCATGATCCCAAGGTGGCTCTTGGCCAAGATGAGTCAAAAATTATGTCCTTCACCTCTCTTGCAGACAGGGAGAGTGAGGCACAAGCTGGGACTGTATATGTGCTCACAGGTGCTTTAGGGGACAAGGGACAATGTAACCTCCTGGGCGCAGTGACCTACTTAATCCTAAGCACCTTTAGGCATCAACAGAGGCATCACCAGCCTTGGACTGCAAAGGGAGGTGATGCCTCCGAAAGTAGCTGAACCACCTTCTGGAGATATCTACACCCCTTTGCATTGCCTATAAGGAGAGCTGCTGACTTAAGTAAAGGCTTATTGGGGCAGGGTGACTCCTGGTCCCCATGATGGTTCACGCCACAGGACCAGGTCCTGAGGGCACACGCTGGGGACAACTATCGCAGAAGTTTCCAGACCCAAAGATTGCTCCAAGGAATGTCCTCGTCCATGGGAGGAGCCCCCTGGGCTGTGCATGGAGGTGGCAGGAGGCACTCACAGGCATAGGCTTGACGTAGAGGATGAGGAAGTGCAGAGCCATGGACATGACGATGGCCCCCAGCAGCCAGATGTTGAGCCATGGTGGCATCCGTAGCAGCGACTGGTTCTCAGAGACACTGCAAAAGCGAGAGGACAGCGTTAGCCCCAGTAACCTCCTGCTCCCTGCACCTGCCCACGCTGGGGGTTCTCACTCCTCTCCAAGGTACAGGACTGTAGGTGCTATAGCCCTTCTCTTCCAGATGGTTTACTTCAGGCTTTGCCACAATTTGGATCTGGACACCCAAATCAATGCAATAAGCCATGAATGGATTAGGACTGGTTGTTAACAAGGCCAAACTGCTAATGGATGCAGATCCAGTCCTTCCTCCACCACTATTGACAGCAGCACGCTGCCTTGGAGGAGCTTATTTATGGTGTCCCCCTGTGAGGATGCTTCGAATGGCTCTGCTGAATCAAAGCAAAGCTCTCAGCCCAACAGATGTTCACAGAGATCCTACATGAAATCAGTCACACAGAGAGCACACAGAGCAATCCTGTGGCCACCCTACCTGTTCAGAGCATTGCACATTTCGATTGTCACCAGCACGGACAGAGCCATCGTGGTTGGGTATCGAGACTCGAAGATCTCACAGTCTATTCCTTCGAAGATGGGGTTGTCCTCGGTGCACCTCATGAAGTTCCTCTGTTGGCACAGCAAACCGCCGGTAAATACAGGGCAGAGCAGCAGCGTAGGAAAGGCAGGAAAGAGGAGGAAGAGGTCGACTGGTTGGGGGCACATGGTGAACTTTGATTATTAAGGGTGCTGTTAAATATCCCACAGTTCAGAGCAGCTGCTACAACTCTCTAAAGTGACCCAGCTTCTGCTGTGCTGGGGCTTTGGGCAGTCAGGGCTGGACAGTGGTTTAGGGATTTTCATGTGCAGTGAATAAGGTGTTTGAGCACACACGATTCTCCATCAAGAATACATCTTCCACTACCCATGACATCGGGGTGCGATGGCATCCACTTTCCCATCACCTTGATCAGACCTACAGTCATGTAAAAATCAATCCCTTTCAATGTGGGGTCGGGTACAGGAGGCACGTTCAGCTTCTTTGGATCAAGCTGGTTGCAGGCAGAAGCAAGGTTGGAAACATCAGCTTGAGGAAAAGAATTTGTGTTTCTTTTTAAATTAATGTTTTCTCCACTGGTAATTTGGGAATGCTACAATAACCACAGAAGAAAGGCAGAGGGAAGACCCCAACACATGAATCCATGACCTAACCCACCTGCTCAACACGTCAGCCTGTTCCCCTCCCAACTCACCAGCTGATGGAAGGAGACCTGCGGCCCCTCGGCATCGTACAAGAACCACCAGGTTGCTGCACCCACCGTGGCCAGGCCCACATACACTGCAGAGAGAGAAACACTCTTACCCACAGCACCCAGCAAGGGGCTCCCAACCCCATGGCACCCCACGCCCATCCTTGTCCTCTGCCCACCGGTGCCCATGGGGGCTCACCTCCGATGGCCAGGTAGCGGAAGAAGAGCCAGCCGCTGATGAGGGGCTCCTTGGGGTTGCGGGGCAGCTTGTCCATGATGTCCAGGTCAGGAGGGTTGAAGCCCAGCGCGGTGGCTGGTAGCCCGTCCGTCACCAGGTTCACCCACAGCAGCTGCACGGGGATGAGGGCCTCGGGCAAGCCCAGGATGGCCGTCAGGAAGATGCTGAGGGGAAAAACCCAGAGATGCCAAATTAGATGAGCTCTGGGGCAGCCAGAGAAAGTGTCTGTGTTGTGCAAGGGGAGAGCAGGCAGGCACCCTGGATCCAAACACCCCAAAATGAATTCCCCCAAAGTCCTGCAGATGAACTCACAGCCCCCGAGTCAGGAACCCGAAGCCAAAGACTGAATTTTGCAGCTAAAATTTGGTCCTGCTGCTATTAAAATCTGCTTTGCAGTTGAAACTCAGCCACTGATGAGCCACACAGATTCCCGTTCCCAGCACAAACACCTCTGCTGAGGTGCAAGGGCAAAGGACGCCCAAATGACCCCAAGGCTGTGCCCACGTTGCTGAGGACAACACTTATTGACTGGGAGGGATGGGCAAGGGACAGGGAGAGCTGCCCAGGACCCGATGCAAAGAGCATCAGCGCAACCTGGTGACAACAGCCTGTGCACAGATATCTATGGCCCTCTTAGATGCTGGTGTGGGCTTAACCAGGCAAAACACATTAACAAAACAGCTCCTGGGGGTGGTGCATTTATAAAACCACAACCCCCCCCCTTATCTCTGGGGGGACAATGCAGAGCTGCTCGTTTTGGTACCCAGAGTTACAATTTTGGTCACCACATACTGCCAGGAGCAGGGAACATGACCAGGTCATCTGCCCCAAGGGACACATCCCCACCACTGCTCCCCACAACATGGTGCCTGGCGCAGGGGGCTCTTACCAAACCACCTCCCCAACGTTGGAGGAGATGAGATAGCGAATGAACTGCTTCATGTTGTTGTAAATGGCCCTGCCCTCCTCAACAGCTGACACGATGGTGGAGAAGTTGTCATCAGAGAGCACCATCTCGGCGGCCGACTTGGCGACAGCTGTGCCCGACCCCATGGCGATGCCAATCGCAGCTTTCTTCAAGGCCGGGGCATCGTTGACACCGTCGCCTGTCTGCATAAAGCCATGATTAACAGGGAGCAAGGGATCAGGGTGGGTGGAGAGGAGAGGACCAGGGGTGGTGCAGTGTCCCTGGGGGACTCACCATGGCGGTGATCTCATGGAAGGACTGGAGGTACTCGATGATGCGGGATTTGTGTGCTGGCTCCACGCGGGCGAAGCATCGGGCATCACGGCCCCCCTGCCGCTGCGCCTCGGGGGACAGCTCATCGAACTCCCGGCCCGTGTAGGCTTTGCCGGCCACATCCTCACTCTCCGAGAAGATGCCAATCCTGCGGCAGATGGCCACCGCTGTGCCCTTGTTGTCACCGGGGATCATGATGCCCCGGATGCCGGCCTATCATGATGACACGGATGCCGGCCTTGCGGCACATCTCGATGGAGGAGGTGACCTCCTTGCGTGGAGGGTCCAGCATCCCCACGCAGCCCACAAAGGTCAGGTTGTTCTAGGAGGGGAACAGCCCCAGACCCACATTAACCCTGGAGGACACAGCTGCTTCCATCCCCGCTGTGAAACCACCCTGGGCACGGAGATTTTCCCCGGGAGGAAACTTTTAGGAGGTTTCCTACCAGGAGCCCCACAGATGCACCCCATAGCCCCATTGCGATGGGGTGTTCCCATCCCCTCTGCTGCTCCTCACCGCTTTCCATTTTGCTTCCCTCCTCCCTCTCCCTCTTGGTGGTCCCTGAACCCCTCTTGGTGGTCACCCCACAGAGATGGATGCCCAGTGGAATGGGGCCCAGTTGACTTCAGAGAAACCAGAGAGAACATACTGCTCAGACAACTGGAAGTGCGTGGGAAAACTTTGAGAACAAGGACAAAATCTTGTGGAGAAAGCCCCCGGTGCCATACCTCATAGTGGATGAAGGCAGCGGACTCATGCAGCTGCATGGTCTCCCTGCGGACAGGCGCGTCGTGAGTGGCCAGGGCCAGGCAGCGCAGCGTGTCGATGCCCATGCCCCAGTCCCGGATCCTGCCCAAGATCTTCTCCCTCACCGGGGCCATCAGTGGGACCTTGGCAGTGCCCACACGGACGTGGGTGCAGCGCTCGATCACACTTTCTGGGGCACCCTGCAGAGAAGCAGAGGGCTTAGGGACTGGGACGAACCTGGAGGACAAGCACATCTCTTGCCAGCACGGAAGGAAGTGCTGGAGGATGGGAAGGCACCAAGTTTGGGCAAAGGAGAAGGCCATCTCCCCAGAACTCCAGCAGGCACATCCTGGCTGGGTGGCTCAGCGCACTAGATGGCAGCCTCCGACCGAGCGCATGGGACCTTGGCCGGGAAGGACGAAGCCACCTCGACAAGATCTGCTTGGTGGGGGATCCATCTGACTCCTGCAAAGCCTACATGCCTGCCTGAGATCCTCCCACACCGCAGATCCCTCCGAGACCCCGAGTTGGTTAGGGCTGTAAATCCCTGCTGGAAAAACGCGCTGCCGGTGGGACGCCCAGCGGCTGCTTGCCGTGCCTTTGTGATCCAGGAGAACATGTCCTGCAGCATCACAGCATCTCAGCCTGTCCCATCTGACCTTACACAGGACCCCCGACACTGCTCTTTAATATCACACTTGCAAACCCTCCATTGCTCCTCTTAAAAAAGCTCACCCAGGACTGCCAGGGCCACAGAGGTAGTGGCTCCAGAGGGTCCCAGCCCAACCTGAAGGACAGAGTTCACCCACACAGATCTCCCAGTGGGAACAACAACACACAAATCTCAGAGCCAATGGGGTAAAATTCTTGCCCCATCTCTTTTCTTGGGGAGAAAATGTCCTTTAAAACACTATTTTATTTCTGGTTACAGTGGAAAGCTGGATATCACCCTTAGCTGGACATCACCCTTTGGGCACTGCTGGTGTTCAGAGGGTCCAAGCCTTTAATAAAGGCAAGTGCCTAAGTTGTGCAGGGGTGCAGCTCTCCCCTGGCCCCAGCACCAGCACACTCAGTGCCTCTTCCTCCCTTTAAATCATTTTATCTCCTTTTTTAATATATTTTTTTATTTATTTATTTTCAGTACTGCAAAGACTCACCTTCTCCCTGACCATACCAGCCCACCTGCTGTCTCCTGGACCTCTGGACAACTAAGGGAGGAGACAAACTGCAAAGCATCACCACCTGCTGCAGTAAGGGTCAAATCCTGCTGGGGCATGCATGGGGAAGGAGGATGCTGCAGGGTGCTGAGGACCTTCTCACCTACCTTGACGAACATCTTGCTGCCAGCAGAGTTGTGACCAGGGCTGGTGGGTGTGCAGTACACCGACATGGACTTGCGGTCACGAGAGAACTCCAAGGTGCACTCCTTCCTCATCAGCTGCTTGATCACCTGCAGGGACAGCATGGGGCTGAGCTGGGACATGTTGGGGACACAGCAACCAGTGCTCCCCACCTTGGCTAACAACCCCAGCACAGCACCAGTTATGGGAGGAGAAAGGCAAACACGGGAGCCAGGAGGGATGGGACAGCACAAAAAGCAGAAGCAGCTTTCCCTGGGCAATTTTTGGGGAGAATTTTAACTCCCCAAGGACAGCACTGCTGCCCAGCCCACAGCACGTGCCAGACCTTTATTTGATTGACCCCACACGGGACATCACACAGCTGCTGTAGCCCAAGATCAAGGCCGGTTTGCCAGAGATGTGTGGAAGAAGATGGGAGAGTCAAGGGGTTTACCCTCATCCTGCACCCACAGAGGCCAGTGGGAGTGGGAGCACCAGCATCACTGGGTCCCATCAAATTAAACAGCTCCACAGCTGAGACTCTAATTAGGCTCATTTGAGGGCACACTAATTACCCCAAGGACCACCAGCTAGGCAGCAACAACCACACACTCCCATGGTCTCTGCAGGTTTGCAGGGCAAGGACAGAGCAGGGGCATGGAGCAGCACCCATGGACAGACTCCTGCACCCCAACCACCCCCAAAACTCCAACACAAACCAGGCTCTACTAGTGCTACTAATTAATAAATTTAAGGAGCCATACATCCACAGCAAGACAGCAGCCCATCCTCCCCTCACACATGAGCATCACAGCAGCTGAACCCAGCTCTGAGGAGGACACATCTTGTCCCAAAAAACCCATCTAATTAACAGGGCACCTGGGGCTGATCCAAAGAATTTCCTGGAGAGAGCAGCAGGGATGTTGGTCCCAACCTCACTCACTGGAGTCTCTGCAGGGCTCAACTGCTTAGACTATTTTTTATTGCCAGGAGGGTGTCACGTATGACAGGGACACAAACAGCTTTTTGCACAAGACTTTTACAGCAACTTAAATCAAAATAAATCAGTGGAGGTGGCAAAGGAAAAGAAAAAGCTCTTTTTTGGGGTAAAACTTTGCAAGTGTAAAGTTAGAAGGAAGCTCCTACTGCAGCGTAAGTGCCAGTGGGAGCTGGGGAGGTGGAGAGATGGGCAAAAGGGATCTGCCCGTGCAGAACGTGGATGCTGTCTGGGGATATTCCAGGCAAACACCAAGTGGCTCCTGAAGGCCCGACCCAGCACAGGGTACGAGTGCAGTGACTACACGTAGGTGGGATGATTTGTGCCCACAAAGGCAGTGCCAGCCCCACTGGGCACTGCTCAGCACAGCAGTGAGGATGCCCAGGAGCAGCCAACCGGTATGGAAACTCCTAAATCCCACCGGAGACTTCAAACCACAGAGCTACTAGAAGTAAAATTAAGAAGCACTGAAGAAACGCTGCCAGGGAACTCCAAGGAAGGATTTTTTTGTCCCTGCCCAAAACACAAGAGTAAGGAGAGCAGCACCAGTGACTGAACCCAGGCAGCTGAGTGAAGGGCAGTGATGGGCACACGGAACAAAGCGGCTGCCGGACTGATGGACGGCTGGGAAATTCCATCTGCCTTAACAAGAAGGAGTCAGGGGATTTATTACAACCTCTCTGGAGAGGAAATGCCAGAACAGAGGGCCCTTCCTTCGAGCAAACGAAGACATTAAAAGATCTAAGAGCACGATACCAAAGCTGAGTAAATCCAGACATGAAATAAAGTGTATTTTCACCAGGAGGACAGGGAGACACTGGAGAGCTGGAGTAGCAGGGGAATAGCCAGGATGGAATATTTGCACATTAAAAATAGATGTTTCCAAAGAGCAAACCTCACTCAGGCAAGCGTGGCTCTGGGGAGTGGGGTTTGGTCCACGCTATGGAGAATGGCTGCTCTGGGCAAGCTGGGCATCTAAAGATTTCCTGCGTAGCCACAAAACTCCAAACCTCATTATCCACAGCCAGAGCTTCTGGCCATCATCAAGGGGATCTCTCCTGGCCAAGCAGGGACTGGGCTGAATTTGAGTCTCAGGGATCACCCACTCTGAAACCCCACATGGACCCAGCATCCATGGGGACCCATCATCCCCCCCAGAGCCTTTGCACCATCCCCTCCCAAACCAGCTTCGCCCGCTGCAAGCCAGGAAATTGCATCCTTGTGGCACATCAGTCCCTTACATCATCACAAGTGGTTATTGCTCAAATAACAGTCATCCCAAAACCTTCCTCTTCCTCCTGTCCCCCAGCACCAGAGTGCACAGGGTCCTCCCCTTCACTCACCGAATTGCAGGCGTTGGCTCGCTCCACCTTGGAGAGTTTGCTGGTGTCCGTATTGAAGACGTTCATCTTCTCCACCAGGCACGTCAGGGCTGTTTCAGTGGCCTCTCCCACCTTCTCATAGACTTTTTTGGACTAGAGAGCAGAAAACAAAGGAACTTAAGCTTTAGAGCACATCCTCTATCTGCTGCTCTGACCAAGGACGCTGTAACCCACTGCACTATCCCAGGGCTCCCAGAGCCCTGACCTGGGATGGGCTGAAGCCAGGGCAGGGGATCCCAAGGGACAAACCTCCACTGCAAAGTAGCCCACAATGAAGGGAAGAGAATCACTGCTGCCTTCCAACCCATCACCCTGGCCCCGGTGCCCCCCGCACCTCATTGTAGTCCAGCGAGGAGTCGTTGCAGAGGGCGCAGATGGTGGCCAGCTCCACCAGCCCGTCGTACTGCCCGCACTGCACCGGCTGCTCGTCCTTCAGGCTGCGGGGAGAAAACAACCCCCAGAGCCTTACACTTCACCAGCTTACACGTTCAAATAATACTTAGCTTCTCCTATACATCCCTTGTAAAATTTTCTGAAAAGAGGGAGAAAGAGCTCAGTTAAAGCCCCAGGCTTGGCAATAAACCCCTGGGTTCATAGAATCATCAAATGTTGTGAGTTGGAAGTTGCGAGTCCAACTCTTGCCCTAGCACAAGAAAATCCCAAGATTCAGACTATGTGTCTGAGGGTCTTGGCCAAATGCTTCTGGAATCTTGTCAGGTTTGGTGCCATGAGCACCTCCCTGGGGAGCCTGTTCCACTGCACCACCACCCTCTGCCTGAAGAACCTTTTCCTCATGGCCAACCTCACCCTCCCCTGGCACATCTTCTGCCATTTCCTCTGCTCCTGGCGTTGGTGGCCAGAGAGAAGAGATCAGCCCCTGCCCTCCTCTTCCCCTTGGGAGGAAGTTCTAGACCCCCATGAGATCTCCTCTCAGTCTCCTCTTCTCCAGGCTGAACAAACCAAGCGACTTCAGCCTCTACTCATACAGCTTCCCCTCTAAACCCTTCACCAATTTTGTGTCCTCCTCTGGACACCCTCTGGTAGCTGTAGATCCTTTCGTTTATATCTGTTCACATTTTGTGCTTTACCAAATGGGGTAGGACTAGTTGCAAATCAAGTATCACAAGAGACAAAGAAACTCTGGAAGTGGCCCAGAATAAACAGGGTTGCAGAAGAGCTCAAAAAGAGCATTGGACCTGAAAGCAGGGGCTGCCAAAAGGCTGATGATGAAGATGATGGATCAGAAAAGGGGCAAAGAAATTCAAGTTAATGTCCACTCCCCCAGTGGTTTCCAGGTGTTGGTGATCCAGAGGAGCTGTAGGACTGGTAGCAAGTCCCTTCTCCTCCTCATGATGCTGCTTCACGCTCTGGTGAGCTGGAGGGCACCCAAGGGAGCGTTTAAGAGCAGCAGACAAAATTAACAACTGTGTGGCTGTTTCTAAGCAAGTGGCAAACTGTGGCCTCTGCTTCCTAAAGAGCAGCTCTTCACTACGTAAAGGAGCATAAATGTCACTAGAAAGAAGAGCTCTGAACACGTCAGACAAGCTGGACACTGCTTCTTTCCCGGTGGCAGAAACAGCAGCAGTAGTTTTCATGAGAAATAAAAAATTATCGTGGTTCCAGGAGAGGTAACTGCAGGTTAGAGCTGTATAAACCCAGCCGGTCATCTGCTCGCTGGAAAAAAAAGTTGTCAGACATTTATTAGGATCAGTTTATTCCACTGCTGGTTCCCAATGGAAAGAACATTTTGGAGCCCTTGTGACAGCTCAGGAGCGGAAAAGAGGGAGCGGCCAAGAAAATCTGAAAAATCTGTTTGTTGAGGGACAAGGAGCTGCGCTGGGCTGGGAGCGGGCAGGGGAGAGCTCCTGTCTCCTGCACAGAAGATGCTGGTGGCCCTGGATGGTGGGCACAGGGAAGGCAACCCATGGGCACTCTGGACTGGGTTTTGATGTTTGGGAAGGTGGAAATACTGAGGATGTCTTCTGCAGTGTGTGGTCCCCTGGAGAGGGATGGGAT